AAAACATATTTCGAAAATAGAACAAAATTGGACACGTAAGAAGTCTTTTCAAGGCAATTTCTGTAGCTTTAATTTCTTGTACGCTTGCGATAACACTATTATCTATTTTTTTACTTACATTAGACTGATAGTATTAGAATTGCAATGTCTAATTAAATGTTGACTGTTCCAGAAGTAATTAAAACCTAACTTTATCATACTTATGGTCTCCTCAGTGAATTATATTAAAAAGAGATTTTTTAAAACGATATTTTTTACGTTTCTACGAAAATTTCCCCCTTCCTAGAAAGAGACGGAAAATGGAAGTATATATAAAATACCCCACTGTCACGGCTATTCACACACACATGAAAGTTCTGGGAAATTCCAGGCATTACCTCCTCCCTAGCATGTCAACAGAGGTGAGTCGACGCTTAACATTGCCACTTGTCAACAGTAGCTATATCAATGGTGTTACTGAGAGTTCTGATTGAGAGAAAGAGAGGAAGTAGCGGAAAATTCTCTGTGATAAATTATCAAAGGAGAAACGGCGGCTGAGTAGAGAGGTAGAAGTGAACAGAACGGTAAAGAGGCGTTCAGCCAAGACAAGCAATGACCGTGACCCATGCGCATGCGAATTGAGTTAGTTCAAACAAACACACACACCTACTCTTTCACTCTCATATTCTCTCTTTGTTTTCTTCCACTGGGAGTGTGCGCCATTGCCGCCGCCGTCACGGTTGACAGGTTGTCTGCCTGCTTTGATGTGTCTCTCTCACTCACTCATGCTCTGGGCTTTGGCAAGAACTACTGCCCTTTAGCGGTAAACGTTCACTCACGCTCTCAGATCCTGTGCAGTAGTGGATGAGACGGACATGTCTTTTTGTGAAACTGAGAGAGAAAGAGGTGTAATTAAAAGGCCAAAAATTCACTTTCTAATGAATAGCAAAGTTAAATTAAAGTTAATAATAACGGTTGGTATTATTGCACCATTATTATGGCCCCCTAATAAGGTAAAAGATATCAATTTCTAATTGTGTAAACGTAAATGAAAACTTCTGTCAGCTAATTTATTAACTGAGAAAAGGTCGTTAGGATGTTAAAATGGAGCTTCATTTGATTTCTGATTTTACTGAATGGGAGGCAAATGTTCAAAAATTCAAATTTCATTATTCGTCGCCATTATTATTCTTATTTGCCCACTATATCCCACACTTAGTAACTAGTCATTTAATTACAATGGCCAACTTTGTTGATTTCCTCTAAAGCTTTAAAGGGCAGAATAGTAATTTATGTTTTTTGGTACCTAAATTATTCAAAAATGCTCAGAGACGTTCTTTGCTATTTGTCAGCCATTTTGCTTAAAATGTCGCAAAGTCTGAACACAAGAAGTCCATTTTAGTAAGTGGTATGACTTATGAAAAGGCCAAGAGGTCGACAAAAGCATTCATAAGTGCAAGCTCCTCTGTAAGATGTAAGTTTAACACAAACTTGCTATCTGAAGCAATGAAGGTTTTGTCGAGGAATGAGCAAAAATGTTGACTCGCGTTGAACAGAAATTTCGGATTACAAATCAAAATCAATATGCACTTTACCTTCTCCACTCCTCAGAAAATGCCATACCGAAACCCACTAATTCCATTATTTTGTAGTAGCACCCTATATTATTATAGCATAGAGTAAAAAACAAAAGTTAAGCACTTTTTGACTATGAGATGCAGGTGGCAGTGGTTAACAGAAAGACCAAAAATGATAGAGGTGGGTCGGGGAGAGGGGAGATATTGAGAAGACCTTGTGATGAGCCTACAGTGGTCAAAGATTCTAAGTTCATTTTATCTTCGGGTTCGGCTGTACCCTATACATTAAAACGTTTAGCAAACGTTCCGAAATCATGATTTAATCTCGGGATTACAGCAAATACTTGTCAACGGGTTACAGCCTTTATTGACCGTTTTTCTCCTAATGGTTAAGAGGACAAAATGACATTCAATGGAGTATTGTATTAACAAAATATAGATACTGCATATATACGTTTTATGTTAACAAATCCTATCTAGCCATATTCACTCAACTTCAGCTAAATTCCCGCGTAATAGGTACATCAGAGGGTACTGTAATTGCCTTCTTGTGTGCTAATCTTTTTATCAAATTCAGTCTTGTTGTCGTTCATTTACGAGAATTTTTCCGTTCATGTTGTGAGTATTGCTATAACTTTCGGAGATACTGCAATAATGAAGTGGTTTGAGGGAGAGTAATTCCTAGTTCTTCAAAGCACTACAGCAAATCTAAACCACTTAGTCAAAGAGAATATATGGGTCTTTCTAATAGTAATATTTCGATTTGCTAAGAAGGGGTTGCTTACATTTGACTATTTGATTTTTAAAAACTAACGAATCGCATAAAATCAGTTTTTTTCTCATCGGGATTAATTTCTAATGCTTTCGAAGATATTTGAGAGCCCTGTTCAAAAGTTATTAAGTTCAAGAAATTATAATCGCATAAGTAATAATTTCTATGAACAGCAGTCATAGTTCTTTTAAATTACCTCGGTTACTCGAATTTTTCATTTATTTATCTTTATTTGCGCGACAGACTTACCTTCACATTTTGCATCCAAAGCAACGTATACTCACACAGCAAAAAATTCTATAAATCGGCAGTTGACTTCAAACTATCATGAACCGAGTGTATGTCAAATTCCACCACTTTCACAGTACTCAACTTTCCTTACCTTTTTCTCTACCTCTGTGTCTGTCTCTTTTACATGTGTGAATCACGTTTCTGTCCCCCCCCCCCTCCTTCCTCGATTTTCTTTGTGACTTTGATGTTCCTCCCCTATGCGAGGCACGAAGTCAGCTAAAGGGCTATTGATAACTATCATAAAGCCTGCCATTTGATATAAATAAAATTTTTATTTGCAAAGTTTATTTCTGGCATTTGTGACAGCAGTAGTAAGCGTAAGTTTGAAGAATTAGCTCCTTGGTCCCGTTTACCAAAAATATTAATGAGTATAATGTTCTAAGTAAAATTAATGCCCACGCTAATGCAAACAATTCATAAGAGTTCATTACGGGAAGCATCCAATCAAGGAAACTGGTAGAATTCGAAAGATTGGAGTGTAATAATGAATGGTCACTTAACACTAGATAATCAAATCTGTGCTATAGCCAAATTTTACCTCGTTCAAGTTTGTATAAGTTTTAAATCTCACAAACGGGTTTTGGTTCTTGAAATGGTTTCCATGCCCTCTGCCCTGTATACTTGTGTACTATTTTTTATGGACATTTAAACGAAGGTTGCTATGAGCACATCGTAGCTCGCTAGAATTAACTAAGAAATGATTATTTGATAGACCATGTAAATTTTTCTTATCATTTTCAGATGATGGCTAAGATTAACAGTAAACTTTTTTCACAATTCTAGTGGTGCATCTGTATCATAGTGTGTACCTTTGGGAATGCTATAAAAAACAAACAATCACCTGGTTAATTGTGCCTTTATCACAAAAGACTTCTTTTAAAGTTCGCTCTCCTCAACCTGAATTCAGCCTTCAAGAAATAGAACAAATAGAACAATAAGGGGGTTAAATCTTGAAATATAAGATATTTGACATTATGGTGTAGCATACTGTCAAGTCCATTTTTACTCCACCCTTTATTGAAAGACTTGGCTCTCTTTGTTAAGCTACTCTCTTGTAATTAAAATGTATATTTTTAGACTGTAAAATGGACTAATTTTGACCTAAATCTGTGCATAGTTTACTGAATTGATTTGTTCACACTTAGATCAGTGCAAAATTTTGTAAATAAAGTTGACAATTTCGCTTTTACAATTTCTCATTTTCCTTTGGACTTCTGAGGGTTATCTTTCAGAATTCATGAAATAGGTTAGTAGAAAACACTGAAGATGAAATCAGTTCAGATAATAAGTAGTTATCAATTTTAAATATCTCTCTAACCTGAAATATTACGTTAAAGCCAACTTAACGATTTTCAATATCTCCGGCATAGGATCATAAGAAACAAAATATTCGTCTTCAAAAAACACCCAAGAGTGAATTGATATTTATATCCCCTCACCGATCTTTTCCATCCCCATGTCAGATACCAATATTCCAGGCAAGACATGTTTAATTAAAGTAGTTAACATGTCCAAACTGCTATCACAACCTCACCGCCATTGATTTCGCTCTCATTTTGCTGAGTAAGCAGCAAAATGGGTGATCTAGCACCTGACCTTAAAAGCCTACTCATAAAATAGGAGAGTGAGGTTACGAAATTGACGGACATGATGAGTGTTCCTAAAAAATTTCACAAATCGATATCGTTAAAGTTACCTGAGCAATACTCAAAATTCTAACTATGAAATACCAAAATGAAATAGTTATAGCATAAGTAAGTTGTACATAGTGGATTGGACGACGGAAATATATAAGCCCTGTTATAATGACCAAATAAAAGCACAATTATCATAAAATAGTGGAACGTGTGCTGATTATATGACAATTAGCACATGGAACTTAAGCAATAATAACATCTTGTATTAAAGAAGCATCTTTATTTCAAAATTGCAAGTATTTGGTGTATACACACGCACCCCTGCAACGCACAATCGCCGGAGTTGTCATCCGTTGGCTGCAGCACACACGGCTTGCTATGGCACGTAACCAATAGGCGTAGACCACTGCCGATTGTGAAAATTAAGGTCAAGCCGTTTCGCACCCCCACCAACGAACGCTTGATTAATCTCTTAACCATTGGTTCTTCGCGCGTTAACTCGAGTGGTACGTGCGCACTGTAGATCAACCAATCAAATTACAGACGTGCTCTGGCGTATAAATAACGTCAAAGGGCTGTCACTCAGTCATTCATCCCATTATTGCATGATATACGACACCGACTAACGCTGTACTTGCGGAAAAGATTAAAGGTACGTTTTTCCCAAGTGTGTGAGTTGACCCACTTATCGCCTCGCCTATAAAATGTATTTCTGAAATTATTTAGAAGTAATAATCACCGGTCATGGGAAAATTATCCGAATATGATGCTCAGAATGTTCTCTCTCTACACTGCCCACTTTGTGACTTTCAAAGCCATTGGACAAACAGGATAGAGTCGCACTTTACTAAGGCTCATCCGGGTAAAACAGCGTCTTTTAGCCTCTTCCAGTGCTTACTGTGTGGAAAGATTTCCTCCTCAAAAGCATTCGTATTGGAGCATTTGGAACTTCGACACAAAGCTGAAATTGAAGAAAGTGACAAGCCTACGAGTCCTTCTTCCGATAGTGATGCGATTATCCCTAAAGAGAAGGGAGATGTTACTCAAAAGCGACCGGATTCTGCCCCTGGTGTCGGATCAAATCCCCCTACTCCTGAATTAGTAATCCAAATTTTCGCCTGCGAACTTCGCGGTAGAAAAGCCGAAGAGAAACTCGACGAGTGTGAAACCAAGTGTGTTTTCTGTAAATTCAGCACAGCCGATAAGAATCTCCTATCGGAACACTATGAACATCATGGAATAAAAAATTTTGACTGTTCCAAAATCTCATCGAGGAAAGGAGAAGAAGAAAGATCAAATTCTAACAATTTTATGAAGATAAAAGATGAGGTAAGTCTTTCTGGGTGCTTGTGATGCTTGAAAATTTCATACTTTAGCTAATACGCTAGCAATGTAAATAGTAATTACTTCATTAATCGAGGAATCTTAAACACTTGTTTTGTATCTAAAATGTGTCGATTACCCTCTGCAAAAAATAAGCTAATTAATCGAAATCAAGTTTTGAGTGAATTTATTATCACAAGGCCTATTAACCCATTTAATTTGACCTCAGATGTTCGCTTCGACAACTGGCTCATATTTCAATGGACCATATTGTAGTGTTTTTGAAATCATGACCTATGACCCGAACTATTTAATCAATGAAATCATGGCTTTTTTATTACCAGAGGTTCTCAAAACGATGGTGATCAAGCGACTGCATTAATGATAGTGGCGCCTCTTAGTGCAAGTTCAATAGGTCAAATATTGAGACCACTCAGTCATTAACCTTGGATATTAGTACTGAGTGCAAATTTGCCCGATTGTGAAACCTGCAATTTTCAACTTTAAATTGCCAATCTCAACTGGTGGCCCGACTGCACTTATTAATTATGTTTCAATTGTCTGATTTCATTAAGGCACTAGCACAGTAATGAGTCCTTCTATTCTCAGCCAACAAAGCCATCTAGTACTAATGAAGATAACTGCATTCAACACATTTTCCCCACGCGGGACTGTTTTATTTTGACCTCCCAATCAGTATAAACTTGTGTCTTCCTGTCGAATCTCCGGTCGCTCCAAGGGGATTTCAATTACTAGTACGGCGTCTAATCAATCTCTGTTTTGTAAGCTATCTTGCACTGAAGCAACGTTTAATTAAACTCATTAGCACTCAATCATTTAGTTTGCTCAGTCATACGTTTCCAGTTTCCACACTGAAAGCAGTAAACTACTTAAAGAATTTCTGTTTCACATTTTTTTGAGTTTCAATGCTTTTGTTTTGTCGGATTGACAGCTGTTTGTTCTTTAGACAGAAGTAACTGTGAGTTTAAATATAAAGCTAGTATTCATGGTAATATTCGAACAGTCCGGACCATATTTTCAAAATTCCAGTATTGCCCGTGTGGTTTAAGATTTTATTAAATTCGCTAATCATTTCATGATATAGAATATGTGGAGATGATTTTGTTAATTTAATCCTCCTACCGTCTTCAAGAACTAAGTGAAAAATGTCGTCAATCGAGTTTTGAAGCAATCCGTTTGAGACTAACGTCACAAGTTTTTCCCGACTATTTTCGACAAGCTTGCAACTTTACGAATGTGATGATAACATTCCAACTTTGCTGTTATTTTTTGAATGTCTATTTTCTCCTGCGGTTTTTTATTATTTATGGTGGATTTTCTCCACTTGCACGTGCTTTGATCATTTCCCTTCCACCCGCATTCATTAACTCGCTTTGTTTCGAAACGAGTGTGCTTGTGACAAGCGGTTTTTAATTATGGAGAACTCACTCGGTGGATGTTTCTCCCTAGACGATTGGATTGCACAGTCAGCGATGGAACAGTATTTGATGCCATCTAGTTGACCTTAAATATCAATGAAATACCTAATATTGCAACGATTCATGGAATGACGTAATGAGGTTTAGAAAGAAAACGCATGCGAGAAGAGTTTCTTAAACTTCAAATAACATTATATCAGTGACATCTCATTGGCCAGCTTTATTCCCAAATTATCTGACGAACATTCACATTTCCCTGTGATTTGAAAGATTGAGATGTGGAAATTAGCAGAAAGTGTTCGAAACTTTTTCTCCGTAGCCATTTTTAGTTTGATAAGGATTTTGGATGCTTGGCAGAAAGGGCTGTTTCTACTGAGATTTTAGCCATTTCAAGATTAATTGCAAACATCTAAATTGTTAAACTCCTGCTGAGTATACATTTAGTTAAAATAAAAGGAGAAAAATGCATAAATGGACTTTAGAAAGACGTGATTTGAATCATCTAGAGGTAATGGTTGTACTAATTTGAAGGCAAGAAAAACAGCCATTTTGCTGAGAAGGGATTCGATGGATGGGTTAATAGAGGGAGTGAAGAAGATTGTCATGCGGGTGGCAAGAGTTGACCTGCTTTCTCTGCCACCCCACCACGATTGCGAAAGGAAGGGGAAGCTATTATTCACCTGTCACGTCAATCGGACGCGCACACGGGCACGAACGTAGCGTGGTGGTGGGTCGGTCATAGCTTGCTTTCAGGTCCCCCTTCTCCTCCCCCTCCACCTAACAGTAGTTATCGTGTCCCTCCTTTCCCAATGCCTACCAGTGTGGGCGCTGATATGAAGTTGCGCTACATTGTATCGAATAGCAACTAAATCAACACACACGTTCATCCATTCACTCTTTTGTCACTCCTGTTCATCACCGTTCACGTTGATGTTTACTCAGCTAACTGAAAGACGCCATTATACGATGCTGTAATCGGATCCTCTCTCTCGCTCTGATTTGATCGCAACATCAAACCAGTGGTGCTTTTCTAGACATCCTCACATACGTGACACTGAATGATTGCTTGCCTATGTAGTGTATCAATTTGTGGTCGGAAGGAGAAGAGGGGAGGAGAAAATGTCATCTGCCGTTTCGGCGGTATTACGGTGCAGTGGCGGCTCATAACATATGGTGTGGTTTGGTTGGTTAGGACTTCGAGGTGTGTCACACACAGGTTTGTTACACACTTCTCTCTCAGCCTTCGACATGTTCCCCCCTTCTTCGGGGTTTGTAGTCGTCGAATCACACACTTGTGATTTTGTATCAGTTATTCGCGTGCGCTCCTCATGATTCATCTTCTTCTAATAATCTTGCCTGTGAGTGTATTTTTATCTCCTACAATTATTTCATATTGTTAATGATGTAACTAAACGCTGGCTATCTGCATCTCTGGCATCAACGCCTTTCTCGAATCATCTCAATGTTAAATAAGGAGATGAGAGCCCCTTTTACTGCTTTCTTAATTGAACATAAAGCAACACAGTATTTAATTTCACCAACACAAGTAAATCTATCCCTAGAATTTAGACATCAATTTAACCTACTCTATTATTCAATTTAGGAATCAATAATTATTTTGAAGCAATATCCCAACAATTCAATGGATATGTGAACATCTAATGGATTGTCGGATTGCTTATGCTCAAGAATGCTCTGAGTTTGGAATCATCCCAATTTATTGACTCTTGGCTCAAAAATGTCCTATTATTAACGGTTTTCGCGATCTTTTACTATTTTTTTTGAGTATTAGCATGTAGGACAGTTTGGAAAGTTAAGCATTCCACTTGAGAAATAAATATTCATTTGACGCTGTGAAATCTAACATGAAGGCATAATTTTGAGTAACTTAGGGAGAGAGAGAGCATGATTGTGTCGAGTGACTCACACTTTCCCCAACTTCACGATAAATTATTAGGGCTACTGGCAGCTCTCTGGCGTTTAAACTGTGTAAAATTAAGTGCTTTATTTGTCCTTATTTCTCTCGTCACCCTGAAACTTCCTACTGATTTATACATAATTACACAACTGGGTTTAAAAAATAATTGCACCTTGTTTAGCCTTTAGATTGATAGTTCGGGTAAATGGCCACATGGTAATTTCATCAACCATTGAACACCCCACCCCCAATTCGTAGTCACGTAATTGTGAATTTTCTGAAGCGATTAAATAACGTCTCGCATTATCACTTCAGGCAGATTTTGAAGGACGCATGATAAATAAGGGTGGGTTAGGAGGGAGGAGGATAACCAGGTAATTACGCTGACTTTGCATCATGTCAATAAATATTGAGTATTGACAATTCACCCCTACTCTTGGCAGGTATCAACAGGTATCCTTTCTAGCGCTTGTCAACTGATCGAATTTTCGGACTCTGAGTCTATGAGAGTCACTAATAGACCATCAATATTAGATGACGGTAAAAGTGAACTCATTAGATTAGTTGAATGAAATTAAGGTAACAATTCTAGCAAAGCATAGACCCTCCTATAACTTATTTAACAGTAAAGGGAAATTTGGTTCTTGTTGCTTGGGGGAATTCGCCACTTCTTTGAACAGAAAGTAAAGGATATGGTTAACTGTAAATTTCTGCTTTTGATTTTCAGGATCTTTTAAATAGTTTAGCCTTTGTGTCTGGCGTAGCTGCAAAATAGTTGCAGCAGCATAGAAATGACCAGCAAACCATGAGCAGTTCCTGTGATATCAGTCACGATAAGATCAGCCCTCTCGTTTTGTTATTAATTTATCTGATGTCTGCGTCCTTTGTGTTGTTAAGTATAGTCTCTCTCTCGCCCTCTCTTTTTGATGTCCGTTTCACATCATTTCTGGTTGGACTGATTGACTCTTTTTTAACACACACTTTTGTTAGCTTTCCTAATGATGTCCGCGTCTACGTGTCTGGTCAGGCTCTAACGCTGACACCGGCAATCTCGATCACGGCTTTATAGAATACATTTAAAGAAGCAGTCTTTCCATGAATACAACAGATTTCACCACTGTTTATGGGTCATACGATGCTATTAAATATTAGCTTATATCGACTTCAACTTTCATAAATCGAATATTTACATTTCATTCGAAGACGTTGGCACAAATCTGAAAAGTAGTATTACTGAATTAGGGAAAAATAGCTGTCAGGACGATAAATTTTTAACTTTGAAGACGGAGAGATATCTATTATGTTGAGTTTAGAAATCGGTACAAGTCATAGTGTTTTCGGCATATTTCCTTCCTCTCACCTTGTCAAACACACGAACTATCTTGACCAAAAACGATATTTAGCGCTAAATTGAACAACAGAGAACATCAGACTTTCAATATGTGTTAGTATGCTATCTTCTAATGACGATTTCTTACCTAACCATGCATACACTCTGCAATGTCTTCCTTCCTCTCAGTTCAATATGACTTGCTGCTTAAACCCCTCCTTGCGTAACTGACACGTATGATCAATAGAGATTGGTGAGACAGTGAAGAGATAGTGAGTGGCAAGCGACATGTCTGTCCCTTCTCACTCTCCATTTTGTTGGCTTTGGGCCAGCCGCCGTCAATGCCACCGTTGTCGCTGCTGCCACCATCCCATGGGACTGTTCGCAGCCCCAATTCGCTCAACCCTTTCTCTTCTGCTACTAGTCAATTACGTTGTGCACGCAGTCGTTGCCGCCACTGCGTTTCTGACAAGTCTGACACAAATACACTCACATTCATTCGGCTACGCGGGTGGGTAGGAGAGGAGAAACAGTTTGGCGGTGGCATTGACGCGTAGTAGTAGTAGCAGCAGCAGCAGCAGCAGCAGCAGCAAAGCAGGGCAACATTGAGCCGAGTGCGTCCGTCTCCCTTTTTGATCCTGTGGCGAGACAGCCGCTTGACAAGTCGCCTTGCGCCATTAAGCGTGGGCGGTTGTGATCACAGCGACTTTTTAATTTGCCAAGTCAATTCTGAGCAGTTAAAAGGGACAATAAAAGCCAGTATAATGTTTGAAATACCGCCCCTTTAAGAAAGTTGAATAAATTAGAATATGTATATATATATATATATATATATATATATATCTGGGCTACAACCAAGATAAATGAGTAGTGATAACTGAGTGAAATTGATGGGAAATGACAGTGGCAGGCAATGGAAGGATTATAGGCATTTAACCGACATGGCAAGGTTCTGTCGCCACCTCCTCATCCCTTTTTCTCGAATGCTGACATTATGTGAGCAGACAGCACGTGCTGCCGCGCCTCTACGTCCGCACTTCGCGCTCATGAGGTGAATGCCATGAAGTTTGACAACTGCTCACCGCCTCCTCCCCCACACGCTCTCACACAACTGTGAAAGACCCTGTCAACGAGGGGGGGGGGATTGGGGCAAGCGAGCCGAAAAGATCAATAAAGAAGGGATGACAGTCGATGCTGTTTTTTCCACGCCACCTATTCTCTATCTCTGGAGCAGAGGTGGAATGGAAAACTATGTCTCCGTATATGCCTGTCTGGCAGTGTCTTTTAACTTCTGTCATCTACGTCGCCACGTCACCACACTGACGTTTGGCAGCACTCGAAAGCGTGAGCTAACTCATCCACTTCTAAGTGCTTTGATCTACTTTTGATTTAATTGAAAGTCGAGAGTCCGTGATTAGTCTCAGATCAATATTTTTACAAATAATTTTTCGCATTTCGAATCTCACGGTTTTATGCAACACGGTTGAATTCGAAGGCGAGAGAAAGACGGAGCTATAAATGTCAGGCTAGCATATTTTATGCCCCCCCCCCACCTTAAATGTGTTTCTAATACGTACTTAACGGTCTGACTTTGGGCCAACGTAGGTTCTATCTGCGGTCCAACTTGAATGATAAAGCAAATATTTCATTCGTCTGCTGTAAATTCTAGTGAAATATTCTCGGGGTCTGAGCGACCAAAGCTGTGAATTTTCTGAGCGTGTGTGTGTGTGTGATGAATTCTATCTAGCCTGGTCAGTAGTTTCCCTCTACATATAGCCCATTTAATGTTATTCTTAGTTGTGGGACGCATTCGCGCCTCTTCATTTATGCTGGTTTGGCAGATGGCTTTCCTAAAGTTAGGTATATGACCTTCTATTTGTCTCTCCCTTCGGCAAATTGATGAGGGACAGCTGAATGATTGACATCGAGATGTCATCTCCTTCAATAGACACTTCTGCTTTCCAGAAATTGGAATATGTGGTCCACTGGCTCCTCCACTATAAATCAACCAGTCCGGCGGTAGCTCTTTCATCTAATTTAAAGAATTCAGAGATAGCCATTAAGTCCCACTGTGTTTGTTTATAATGGCCATCCCCATCTTTGTTACAACTGACTTTTTAACACCGTGTCAAACGACAATTTTTGTCAGTCTGGTCGTTAAATGAGCTGAATTATAACATTCGGATTTATGAGAATTGAACTATATAAGGTCAAATGAACACGAGAATATGTAATAAAATATCCAATTCCTTTATCCTCTCATAAATGCTTTGGTTGCATCTGTTAAGTCCATTTTTTATTTTGTGTTTGTCACGTTTTCCTCCAAATTAATGAGAAATTCCTTTTAATTTGTTTTGATCCCTTTGGTGTTTTTATTCTCATGCACAACACTATCACTTTGTGGTGTCAATAGCTCAAAATTCCCACGTACTACACTCCGGCATACCCATATTCAACTCATTTTGAGTTCATAATGACATTTATAAGACAATTTAAAACGAATTCTTTGAACTTTCTAATAAGACCTCAAATGATTTCAATAGAATATTTTTCGACTGCCATTTTCCGCAACTTTGTCCTGATGGCATGATACTATTCTGTGGCGGCGGTACAGCAGTTATATCTTGAGAGTTGTGTAGTGTACCGCTCATCAAACTTTTTGATGCAGCCTTCTTCGTTCCCTACTCACGGTCGGACTTTTTTGAAGAGTTTTCACTCCCTCTCACTTTCAAATAACCATTCATCTCTCACGTCTTCCTTCCTCTTCCATGCTTTCAGCTCCTTGGGGAGTGTGCCACCGGCGGCAAAATTTCCTTAAACACCCGCCAATTTTGCCACAATTTCTTAGCTCTGCTTCGCTACTTTTTCCCTTCTCAACTCACTCAGTGCACGTTAAGGAGACGTTAATTACGCTCCTGCACTTTCTCAGGATTTTTACAGAATGAACACTAACGAGAATTTCTGGTCAAATTTCCTCCCACGTGTCCCTTCCATTAGGTACGGTTGAGACTTGTTGGCAAATCGATTATTACTCACTTAGAAGGGAATAATTACTAAGATTAATTGATAGCTTCGCGCGTTTAGACAGGGCACATTTAGTCAGCACTGTTGTCTTATCAGATGTCGTTCCTCACCGATTTTTGCGGTTAAGGGGGGAGGGGGAGGGAAGAAGTGTTAGTGTGGTGTAATTTATGCAACAATTTTCCTAGTCTTTAATCAGCCTCTCATGGCAGCTCGAACGAATATCTATCTATGTCTGTTCCTCCCCCTTTCTTTCCTGTAATCATACGAAAGTTCGTAGACGTCCCTCTAATTATACGACCAGAAAAATACTCACCCTCTTGGGTTTTGCCAGGGGCTGATTTCGAGTGTGCTGTGCGGTTATTCGTGCTGAAGTTTGGACTTTGCTCGGTTCTATAAACAGAGACGGCATTTATTTCCGATCAAAGTATTTTGGGGAGGGGGGGGGGGAGAGAAGGGTTAGGAGAAAAAGAGAAATAAGGTGCTGGTGCTACTTCGGTGCTTCTTCCACCCCATCCAACCTTTATCTTAAGCTTCAAATTAATAACTACGGGCCTATAATTGTGTCGAATGTGAAAGACACCCCTTCCGTTACTGGAACATAAACTGTGCATCCACAGTCTCTAATTGACAAAGGCGGTATTCGAGAATTAATAGGTGTGAAGGGGGTAATTATTATTTAAGGAAGTTAAGAAGAAAGAGAAGGTACTAAATCTCCACGGTCGGAGCTTCTAATTTTCTATCTACCTTTGATGGGATCATAGGAATTTCTGGTATAATAAATAATTCCCACGCATCTAAAGTAGTCGGATTTGGACACCACTTAGACTGATTGTCAAGCCTATTCCAATAACTGGGCTGGCATATCCTACTTACTGCTAGTTCCTATGGGAAAGAGTGACCTTATGGGACTGTCGTCGTAGGACGGAATTCAAATTCGATTGCGCTCATGAAATTGAGAAGTGGATTAATGCCTTTTTTCAATTAATTTGGCCGGACTACTAACTTTGTTCACGAATGCTCAAAATACCACTTTGAGACAGAAACTAGTTTTTATAAATTTGCGTTTCTTCTCTATAAAGGTTTCAGATTACAAAACTTTGCAATGTGGTAAATAGACTGAATTTCAGGTTTATGCGTGTGAGTGGTAGGTTGAAGTCACACACCTAGCATTTTTTCTCCAATTCTAGCACCTTTCAAAATTTTGTTGTTTTTTTATGGTGCACGTGAAAGAACGACAGAAAACCAGACTTCTCCACGGTCACAGTCTAATTTCTTTACTTTTTTTCACTCCAGTCTTGATGGTTTTATAGCCTCCATTAACTGTTGTGTGCGCCTAATTGCAAATCTGAACAACAGCAGAGTTCGATAAGAGAGAATATGCTGCTCTTAAATCATACGCATTCATTGTTTGATTGTGTGCGTGTGTGTGGACATGGGTGGTGGGAGGGGTGGGTGAATAGATTGAAGGAGATGGAAGGGAGGAGGGGAGGGGGGTGAGTGGGAGTCGATTACGCCGACAATTCACATGTGTGCCTGTTGTGCAACGCAGCACTCGCAAACAGGTGGTATTGGTCATGTGTGCGCGCCTGCGTGACATCCCGCATCTTCATTCAGATAATTGTCTGCCTCTTATCCATCTCTTTCTCTGCCTAATTGGTCCTGGTACAACCTGTAACTGGTACAACCAGCTGGGCGAATAAATCACGACTCAGAATCTGAAGCTACTCCTCCGCACTTTTTGGCTCTCTCTCTCTCTCTGTGCACACAACGATCTTTTTTCGCTCCGTTTCTTATCTAGTTTCTCCCCTATCTTCCACCGACAATTTGATGTTAAAGCCCCCATCATTTTAACCACCCACGAACTGGAAAATTATTTCGCCACTTTTATTCACGCCTCTTTGTTTGTTTTTTTTTTCAACACAGGAATCCTCTAAAGAAAAGACCTCGGACCTTTTAACAACCTCGAAAGAGGCCCCATCTAAAGAACCAACTTTCCTTTTGAATGAGGGAGAAGTGGAGGTAAGTAAAGCCTCTTTTAAAACCTCAAAACTAAAGATTATCTAACTATCTTTGTTTAAAATACTTAAGGCAACAATGAAACAGACGACAGGCGTTAAAAATTTAACCCCTTCGCTCATGGAAGCACCCCCCAATTTGGATATTGAAAAAGATGGGAATTATCGGTCCAAATTTCCAAATCCCCCTGATATTTTTAACATTGCTCAAGCAACTGAAAATCGCAACAGCCTTGCCAATACTAACAATCAGTTGTTATCTCAGGAAATGCTAACTTCTATAATGTTATCAAGTGCATATTGGCCATTAGGAATGCCGAAACTGGACACTTTTGCAGCTTTGAGACGAATTTTTGAGCCAAATAAGGAAACAGAAGTAGTGACACCTCAAGAACCACAACAGGGACGAAATCCTCCAACCGCTTCTGGATTTTCAGCCTCCCAGTTGGCAGCCCCAAAGAGTTTTGAGCATCAAGATCATGTCCACCCAGTTGTTCCTCCCGTTTCTTCCCAAAATTCCTTGCAACCCACAAGCTTTTGGGGTCACCCATCACTGTTTACCAATACGGATGTGAGTAATTTTACTCGTAGAAACGTTTCCCCACCAACCAACATTCCAATCCCACCGCCCACTGATCCCTCCCCAGGGGGACCGCAGCTAAATCCCGGAAATCCCATTGATTTCTTCCGAGTTCTCTACCATCAACAACAAAGCGCTCAACAACAGCATGAAATTGGAGAGGCTATGGCAAAACGATTCTCTTTGGAGCGTTTAAATCTCTCAGGAGCATCGGATCCTGCAGCTGCAACAACAAATCAGAATGTAGCCATGATGGCTGCAGCCGCATTTTCAGCAGCACTCTCAGGATTCCCTCAACCTAACCCGGTAATAACAAGCCATTTCTCGGGTTTGAATTCCTCATCATCAGCATTTGTAATTCCCGAGTGCCAAACTACAAATGGTGAAAGTGAAGGGCCTATAGGACTCAATCTCTTTACTTCATCAGCAGGGGAGAAGACTGAGCCCCAACATAGTTCACCGACTGAGGAGGAGAGGGATCCAGATATATATAGAAATAAGAGACGAAAAATGAATCGCAAGCGGGATGAATGCGTGGATAAAAATGCCGCTTTTCAACTCTTTCACCAGCACCAGCAAGCTCTCCAACAACAACACGCTTTACAGCAAAATCAGCGCCAATCAGCTCTGAGTAAGTATTACCTAGAAGTTAGGAATTTGACGTCAAGCTTGTCAGGGGATGGTAGGTAGAATTCAGGGTTTAAAATTGGCAAATTTCGCTTGATATCAGACTCGAACCTTGGTTATGGCTTCCCATCGAGCGATTCCGCTTTAGTAACTAAAACCGATTCACAATTTGCACCTTGAGATGGAGGTAGACCCAAAACTGATAGAGATTAACAAAGATTCACAGAAAATGAGAATGTTAACAACCCTTTTCTTAATGGGATTTGAAGCAATAAAAGATAGCTTCTGATACTATTTGCAACCACTTCCCTTATAGTAATGTGGTTCGTAACCTGACGTTTCGCAACCAGTACTTAGTTGCATGGACCTTTTAATCGGTTTCTGTTGACCAAATCGAAATTTCCTCGTTATAAAATGGAGCAAATATTTGCTATCTGCGTTGTTCAAGATTGCCATTGATACTCTCCGAGTGATCTTCTTGCGAAGTGTTCGAGTATTCATGGCTTCGCTTGAGCGTGGTGTTAAAGCATGCTTCCTAGTCTATTTTCGTCACATGCTTTTAGTATTCTCTATTGCAAAAAGGATAGCATTATTTACCTACACTTTTTCTTCTTATTAAGTTATACATGAAATTAGTGAGTACGGTGGAGGCTGGGGAGTTGTTTGCCGTCATTCGAGTTTTCTGCGTCTCACGCAACACAAACAAGCTCTCGGCCTCTACCAGCCTGGTTGATTTGAGCTGACTGGTCGAACAGATTGACTTGACAGGTGGGCAGGCAGGTAGGTAGAGGGGAAATTTGGATATGAAGGGTTGTAGGGAGAATTCCAAGGAGCAAAATAGACTGTCTATCAGATCCTATACTCATACATATGAAAAGGGTGAGGGGAGAGGGTGAATTTTTGAGATTGAGTTCTGCTTTTAGGTAGGGAGGACGGAATGATTGACATTGTACTTGAGAAATTTTGGCCACGCCATCAAATTTGGCAACGTGTTTTGACAGACAGCCGTAAAAAAGGGACAGCCAAGGGTGGGGGGGGGGGGGGGGGGAGGGGGTAGAGGATTAAATAACAACAAAAAGGTTCACAATGGTTTTTCTACCCGAGAGAGCATGAAATATTTAATTGAATAACCATCCTGTGGAGAAGATGTCTGCCTAATTATAAAATGACTGCATATAACTATAATTTGTCAGTTTGACGTAGTCATAAAAGTGTCAATCGACAGAAGAGAGATAGGCATTTCTGGTAAGGAGAACAAATGTCTGGTAAATTCTTGTAATTATTCTTTACTATGGTTGAGGCTTGTTATTATATCTGAGTTATCTCCTGATTAATATCTAGCGACACGCGAGTTGTTTGCCAAATCAAGAGAAGAATTTGAATAGTCTCCATTAGAAGGAACTACGCAATTATATTTTAACAGTAGTGTAATAGCGAGGACTGAACTTTCTACCTCTTTTCATCAAGAAGCCGTCTTGAGAACCTTGATCTGAAAAGCATATTGAAAGCAATCTCTAAACGAACGTTGATTTAGGTTCGATATGGATAAATGGCGGACACTACTAGGGGAACGAGTAGTATATGCCTGGAAGGTTTGAAAAAGGGTTAAATCCCTACCTCACTTCTTCATAAAGTAGAGGTGATGGCCTGGCTACGATACGATCGTTGAGAGATAAGTCCTTGTGCCACTGAAAAATTGATTGACAGATGGACAGGAAGCTTGCTGAATCATTGGATTGCATTGGATGTCAATCATGAGCAGTAGTTATCGATACCCGTCATAGCCTGTAGAGCCCTGTTTCAGCTATGACAGGAGTAAGTTTGCTATCTTTCAATCAAATTCATTCCAGCTTGGACTTGTGTTACCCTTGAGCTCACAGTTTTCAGTAAAAAACTGCCAACCCACTTGATAACTATGTTTACACTTATACCATGACCTTGATGTGACAATTTGAAGTGTGCAGATGCACAATTTACCGATTGCATGGACTCCGGTGCTATTATGAGTACATCTGATTACCTGGCAATGGAATCAAAAGATGGGCGTCTATCATGCAAGCGAAATCACGTGGAATTTTAATTGGAGGGAGAGGTGTCCAACTTTCTGTGGTGATATGCGCCTGGGAGTTTTTCTCGGTGTGACGCGATATGCCACTTCGCTTTTTACCCTTCCTACTATGTAAAATTTTTCTATTTCTGGACTTTATCATTCAGATGAATCTGTTAAGTTGAAGCTATAAAAATTGTTAGTCCATTGAAACTTTTAAGAGCTTCGATTATTTATTTACTCCCACTATCATCTATCTCTTCCTAGTGGCGACATCAGAGGCCGTAAATTGTGGTCTCTGGCAAAATATGATCTGACCTCTTCACCAATTGACAAACAGCTGGCTAAAGTTGCTGGGGTTATGTTTAATTTTATGTCTCTATAGTAACCTCAACTATGATTAATCGTGTGAGCATATAATCAATGTGCGAAAAAGCATAGAAATTTCTAGAAAGGTCACCACTGGTATTGCCATCTGTACACTCGGTGAGCAGGAGATTGAAACCAGAAGATTGTAGAGCGATAAATGGGTACTGGGAAGTCCGTGAATATCGGCCTAGTCAGGAATCACGAGGCAATTGGTCATAAATTTGTACACCCACCCACTCTAGTTAACTTCACCCAACAGGAGTAGTAGTAGTTTGCAAGTTTCTCATTGAGGCCGTTTCACAATATCTCTTTTCAACCCAACTGAGGTATTTTGAGCACTTATTAGGTTTTGATAAAAGCGAGCTATGATTCAACTTTAGGATGAAAACACCGCCGATAACAAAAAGTGTGGTCTTGATCAGGGAAGTCAATTCTTTAATGCTTACATCGCAAACGCACGGAAAGTTCAAGTAGGGTGTTAAACCACAACTCACAAGTTATGTTGAAGTTAGTCCGATAATCTGAGCACGACATCGAGCTCTAAACTACAGCACATCGTGGCATTACGCGTATGCATGAGTAAGTGACCTGAAGAGAACTCATCTAGTACAGTGTGGAGTTTGAACACTTTCTCTCTCTATCTCTGACCTTGTCAAGGCCGGTGCATAGAGAGCATCATTTGCTAGCGGAAGTGTTTTTTAGAGTGAGAAAGCAGATCTCTAAGGTCACGTCTCTTAACATCTTCGCCTTAAAAAAATTTCAGCTCTGTTGTAGGGTTTATCAGAAGTCTGAATTAATGTCATAGATCTGAATGCTTATAATCCCTAGAGTAGAGATGAGAAGATGTTTGGTTTGTGAGCTAAACAAAGAGTGAGTATGACTCATACTTTAATGTATGCGAAAAATAATTAAGTGATGCGGCAAGTTAGGAGACTACTCAGAAAAACTTTTATACTTCTCTCAAGATGACGGATTGAACACTGGGAAGATCTAAGAGCCGCACAATACGCATTTCCTTCGTAATATGCATACAACTTTTCCAGAAACGTTTTAAAATCAATGGAAAGAAAAGTTGAGGTTGGCTTTTCTCAATGACTTGCTCTCTCGAAGTACCATCAATATTCTCACGAGATACCGAAGCGAGAAGTAATTCGCATTGCTCTCACTAGCTCGACATGTGTCACTGTGCCCTACTGTCAATTGTCTTGATTGATTTAGCACGCCACGTATAACACCTATTTACATTTGCGTCAAGAACGACTAATTGACACACTTAGATTTTCAAGTTAGATCAACTCAACGGGGGGTAGAAAAAAGAATTGCCATACTATGCTTGCAGGACATGGAAGAGATTTACAAAATTCTGATCCATCCAAAGTTTGATTTAACTGACGGATTAACCGTTGTCCTCCTGGTAGTTATTAAGAAGTAAAGTATGATGTTATTGGCTTATATTTCCAGATCTACCCATTGTCAATAAACCTGGAGTCGAGCAGGGATTGACCACCGCCGTGTTGGTGCCACAACCATTAGAGTTTGTTGAATTTACATATTTCTGTGTGGCCAAATACTCAATTATGTGGGAAGAAGGGTTTGCAGTAAAATTAATAGGCTTTTTAGAAACATTTGCCCATCATTGAGAAGAAGTGTAAAATGTTGGCTTGAATGATAGGAGTGTGAAGTTTGTCATGGGCGGTTCGAGAAAAAAGGAAGAAGAAGAAGGTTGTTGGAAGAAGCGCGCTCTTTTGCTCTCAATTTGTCGCTTTGGCTGAAAGGAGGCGCAGCGAATGAGAGATGCAAAAGAAGCATGCGGTGGCGGCAAGAATCCCAATAAATTGTATTGCGTGTGTTTGTTAGATACATACACACACAAACAGTGCTGCCGCGTTGCAATGTCGGCAATCTTTCTGCACGCTAAAGACCAATAATGTGTGTGTGTGTTCGAATTTTCAGTCATTTTAAATCTATTGCCAATCAAACGTTCCACATCGGCTGCAGTCTTGGGATTTTCAGCGAAGTGCTCTTAGTAACATCAATATTTGACAATAGCAAATGTATTCACTCACTAAATTAAGAACTCATTTCGTTCTTTCATTTCTTCCATTTTAGATCTTCATGTGAATTCCATGGAACCAGGTTCGTCTACAAGGTTTACTGAGGAAGTTATGGATCGATCACCACCTCATGACTCAAGACGAATGGATTCGCAGTCGAATTTTCATCGTGGTTCGTATGCCCGAGCCTCCAAACCAAATAGTCCGGAGCTTGTAAATACGGGAAATCAACTAACTCCCAGCAGAACTGAAATAATCCCTCCAACAATGCTAAATTTATCTTCCAGTGATCAACATCAAGAGAGCTTTGATGGCAATTCTGAACGCGGAGCGCAAAATTCAAACGCTCAGGTACCGGGAATATTCAACATTCGCCGAGCTGTTGGACTTTCACGCACAAATCTCCCCTTCCCTGCAAGGAAGACTCTGTTCAAGTGGTTAAATGAACATCTTAGAGAACCCTATCCTTCAGAAGAGGAGAAACTTGAGCTGGCTAGACAGACAGGGCTCAGCCGTACTACTGTGAATAATTGGTTCATCAACGCACGCAGGCGCTATGTGAAACCCCTTATGCAAGGAAGACTAGTTCTTCAATCAGGTGTCTTTAAGACAGTTCCAGCTGATGCTGCTACAAACTCTGCAAATCGATCACCCACATCGCCCACTCATCCGACTCATAATTCCTCGACGTCTTTATCACAGTCTGCCTATCGCTCATCTGAAAACCCTATCAGTCAGTTCCAAAACCAATTTCAATCCCCATCGAGATTGAGTCTTGGTGGAAACGGCATTTTTCCTGGCCCCAATTCGACATCGAATAACAACAACCAATCGCTGTCTCAATCCGCAGTGCAAGCGGCGCTTGCTTTCAACGGAAGCACGATTCCATTTGGTAGTGACAATGGACCGAGCGACAGCAAGATTGCATCTCAACAACAAAGACCTAGCCACCTCCCTTGGAAGGCATTGGACCTGGGCAGTCCCAAGCGCTTCCGTCGCAATTCTGACCATTCGAATTCCTCCTCGCCAGCTGATACGTCTTCTCGGTTCCCACAAAAACCCTCAAACAACAACCACGAGAAGACACCTGGTGTGGTGTAACAAGATGAACTAGTGATCTCAGCAACCAAAAATCCCAGCAACAGTCGATTCATCTCATCCCTATTTGTATATTTTCACTCTAGAAGCTGCCAACAAGGTTACAATCCAACCCGATTTTTCAAGGTGTTGAGGAAGAGACACTGGGGAATCCTCTTTATTGGCGTATTTAAGATCCAACCTATATTCTTCATTACTCGTGAATGGTCAAATTGATAGATATTTGACCTGTGAAGTGTACAGTTATTCCGGCCCTATATTCTAAAAAGATTGCCAATCTTTACAGGATTTCTCATTCCTGACTAGGCTATCTCAATAAAACCTAGATGAGCAGACAGATATAACTCACCGAACTGCTACACAAAGATGCAAAGATTAAACTCCATTCATCACACTATTCTTCCTCTGTTGAAAGCTATGCATTCTCTTCATAAATGCTCACTTATTGGGTTCAAGCTTAAATTGAAGGCAGTTTCCTCAACTCCAAATTGTACAGTGAATGAAGATGACCTGTCAGTTACCCTGAATGTGTGTATGTGTGTGTACTGTATTCTTAAAACTTCACATGAGATGAGATATCGGTAGGAAAATTTCACTGTGTGTACTATCATCCACTTTCATATTGCCCCCCCCCCCTGACTATCATCTTGGTAATCTTGCATATTGTTAGTTCTTTCTCAAACCTCTCTTCCCATTCTATCCCCATTTTTGATGTTTTAGAAGTACTTAACACGTATTGCGGTTGCTGACGAAATGGAACTTTTAAGTTAACTATACTCTTCTCATTTGTTTGGAAGGTATTTGTGCTAATGGGATTTATTTTAATGAAAACGCCTTAGGCAATCGCAGTCGGAACTTATTACGTTAATCAGATAAGAAATAACTTGTGAAGGGAAAAATTCATTTGAAAAGGTTGATGGTTGAGAGAGTATTTTACATTTCAAAGGTTACAAACAGCGCTAATTTTGGGATCAACAAAAGAGGCAAGGCCAGTTTGTGGGGTTGGAGACGTTCTAGCTTCTATTAAGTTGTGCTTTAAAATAGAGAGAGAGTGACCATATTTCACACCTGATGTTGTTTATGGTATTCAATTACCAGCTTGAAAGTGAAAAAATTCTTTCCTTCCCACGGACCACCCACACTGTAAGAAAAGATGGAATGAACCTACATTGAAATCGATAAATTATTGAAAGTTGTGTTTATCAAAGTTGTAGTGCAACGTGAAATATCGATCGATTATTTGCAGGTGTTAAGGTAAAATTTGCGAATTTCCCAAATATTTCGTGTTTTTTTTGAGAATTGAAGATATATAGGTAGGAGTTAAATAGAAAAAACAGTTTGGCAGGAAGTGATAATATAAATGGAATGAAAACCAAAATTTAGTATTATGACAAAATTTTTTGTGTTTAATAGTTAAAAATAATTCACTTAAAGAAAGCAAATCGAGCGAAAACATGAAATAATATCTTACTTTGAGTTCATTTGCGGATATACGTTTCAACTATTCATTGAGAAAATACACCTTTTATCCTTATTTAAAGCTCGTGTACTTAAATTAGAGTCAAACGTCCAAGAAACAAATTTCATTCAGAAAATTACGTAGCTCAGCAGGATTTGGAAGTTTAATGTTTCACAAAAAGTGAGTTGGTATTGTAAAGCACCATCTTTAAAGTTGAAAGTATTGACAGTTAAGTGGAAAGTTGCGGATACTATTGACAACAATCATGGGACATTTAGTGACTTTTAACAAAGTTTATGCAGATCATCTGCAAACTCTTACTCATTAACTAATTTTTTTAAAACTTAAATGACTCAACTCTTATTTAAAAGACTTCAAAGTTGCCACTAGCAATCCATTTAAAGTTGATTCTTATTATTCGAAATCAGAAATTTACTGTACTCACCAATATAGGCTAATTTGAGCATCAAAGTACTTATTTAACAAATATTTATGATTCTGATTTTCTAAAATGTGAGCATTTGTACGAGAAAAAATCTTCAAAACGTGTTGAATTATGAAAGCTTTTGATATAAATGGGTGTGAACGTGATTTTGGTTCCAGGACATTAGAATTTATCCTTTTGATGCTGAAAATCAGTAATCTTAAGTTGAAGAATTATTTTCCTTCCACCTTTTACCACCATCTAAAAAAATCAGTCTGACACCGCATGTCCGATAAATTCCTTATCACCGATACTACTGAAAAGAATGGGTAGCATGCGCACCCCCACAGAAATGCATTATCGTTCTCAAGTTTTCGGAGCTTCAAACATTTCCGTAATTATCTTCTACTCAATGTATGCTAGGTCTAATTTGTCGATCAAATTTTTTGTGAAAACACTAGCGAAATTAAAACATGCAATTGGAAGTAAATTTGAACATAAAATCGAAGAATTTGAGCATTTAATTAAATTTCGACACTAGATTGAAAGAATAACTGATATATTTTGACATATTCGTTGACTATAAATCATGGATAGTAGCGTTGTTTCAGCATTTTTATTACACTGACGAAATTTGACGAAAATAAACTAATATATATATGCGTTAGGTCTCAACACGAAGCGTTTTTTTTTCAACATTAAATGTAAACATTAAATCTGACAGTTTATAATTATTTCGACAGGATTCGATAAGTAATAAATGCATCGCAGTCTATCATGTCCCAAAGTTTACAAAAAGATTCGCACTTAAATTTTGATGGATGTGTTAGCATTAATTAATATTTCTGGAAAGTTTGAATCAAGTGGTTTTTTTGGATTATGTGATTGAGAAGAGAAATATCAATCTACACCAATGGATTTGCCTGTCTATGACTAGTTTGATAACCAAATTACTTGATCTGTTTTCATGCATCTTGTATTTTTATGGATGTTATCTAACATCTGGTGATAAATTTAAAAAAAGGTTGCATGGAAAGTTAAGTCGGTCCTTACAAAGGGATGTCATCCAGGCAAGGCAAGCAAGTATGAAAGGGCCATGCTTTCCATTAGACGTACTAGGACTTAACGAAACCAGATTGTGACAAGTGGCAGTCAGCTTACTTTTGTCCACGAACCCTCTACAAAGTCTAATCTGACCAGTGGTCAAACTATGGGCACGTCTAAGAAATGGAAAATGTAATGGTGTAGGATTGCGATTTATTTGGTTTTTAACTTTCCAAAACGCTGGCTATTAACTAACAGACGAATATAACTATCAAAAAGCCACGATAAAAACACACCTCTTTTTGAGGTATTCTGTTGAGTTCAATCCCTGATGGATCGTTTCTTCATTACCACTTGGGTCGTTCTTCTTTAATCTACGCGCTGTTCTTATTCATAATAGCGTTAGTGGTTACCTAGGTGCCCACCTCCTTTTAAAACCTATTTAACTTTCTCCAAGAAGTCTGGCCTAAGTAAACATCTACCAAGGTAGGCACATACGAAAGGGTGACAATCTTTAAGGTGCATGAAGCTTGCCAAGAGTACAAGTGCTAAGGGATTATGAACTCCGTCCTCTTGGCCACAAGCCTCCACCAAGAGCGACAGAGACGGATGAGACTTTATGGCCTGATGTAGTCATGGAAATACTGAGCTATCAGTACGACGTGGTCATTAATTCACTCTGAGTGCAGAATTTGCCTTCCAGAAAGTTGATTTCTAAAGCGCTTCATGCAATAAATCATGAGATGGAGTTAAAGGGCAAACTGTTATTAAATATAAATTTAATTTTATTATTAAAAATGCCATATATTTATTCGTGATCATTAGGCAATAAATATCTGAACTTACTTTTTATATCATTTTTGAAAACAAAACAATTTACACAATCGTTGCTCACATAGGCGGATGACATTTCGTTACACGTAACTAGATAAATTAAGTAGAGACTGTCTGGTTTAAACATCATAATTAGAATATTAAACAGTTTTTTAATAAAAAAAGGATATGGGCTAGTTCTTGAAATTGGAGCTGTAATTAAGCATTCGCCTTCAGGTTTTTTTAAATCGCCTTGTCTTGAAATTTATGCAGTTTTTGAAAGCTTTATCTTTATGTGAGCGTTTCAAACTAATGACCTAACCCTAGGATCAAATGTAATAAAAAAGGCCTATAGCCGTGATGACTTAGAATAGCTACTTTTATACTCCAATTATGTGCTCGCAATGTGTTGGACTATGCAATGAATCCAAGATTTAACTGAAATTTACCAATTAAGAAGTTGCACTTTGTTGATTCTATCAATTTGCTCCAACTCTTCTGAAATACATTTAATTATGATCATATTTTTTTGTATGGGGTGTGCGACAGACCTACCTCCACGTGGTACATCCTGGGCAACGTATACTCATACGGCAAAAAGTCTGTTAACCGGCAGTTGATTTCTAACTTTAAACTAACATGTCATATTCGACCACCTCCACACGACCCATCTTACCTTTTCTTTCTCTTTGTGCCCGTCTGTCTCCTTTACATCTGTATATCATTATTCTGCCCCCCCCCCCTCGACTTTTTCACCCTTTGATGTTCCTACTCCTCCTCCAATGAACCCCGAAGTCAGATAAAGGGCTAATGATAACTATCAAAACGCCTGCCATTTGAAATAAATAAATAAGATATTATTTTTTTATGGATGGTGGGTTGATTTCAAGTTCCTTCAGGTTATCT